TGTGATTTTGGTACCTCTTTTAGTACTTCTGAAGACTATTTACAAATATTCAAGACTCAAATCAACCAAGCCAAGGATCATGTATAGTAGTGTATCGTTGTATTTTTGAAGGAATTATGTGATTTTGGTACATTTCTAGTATTTCTGAAGACTATTTACATATATTCAAGACTCAAATCAACCCCCTCAAAATGCTGCACTTGTCCCTTTTAAGTAATCCCCCTAGAGTCTTATGTACTTTCCCATCTTTCTCTGCACATCCCTCAAAACAACATTCTGGAAGTCATCCATGTGTTTGAAACAGATACTCTTAATGACACTCTTCACCTTGGGAAACAGAAGAAAATCACAGACAGGTTGCTCAAGCACAGTGAGGTTCTTCTCAGCCAGGGGTATCAAAGTTTTGAAAAGTGGTACTAAAATTTTGGTCCAAAAGTTGGAATGATCCAAAAATACTAACCTTAGTAGTTTCTTCATTGGTATAGATCTTGAAATTTTTACAGGCTAGACAATCAGAGCTATCTGGTCCACGGCAACCACTCCGGCATTCGGTATGACACGTGTCACACATCTTCGTATCGTTGTTACCATAACTCATGGTATGACAGTGTTCCACGCACGTGCTTTGTTGAAAGTAATAACGACAGAGATTACAATAATACACTCCAGCACCAGTACACGTTTTACAGAATCTATGACACGGCTCACAAATCTGAAATAAATATCAAAAACATTAATATAAGTTAAAAAAAAAAAAAAAAAAAAAGAAACAGCCAATTTTGACAAGATAACAACTTAGGTTCAAAGGAATCCTTTCTACCAGCTGGTCCTTGGCCAAACCTCTTGGTATTGATTTTACAAGGATAACAACTTAGGTTCACAAGGATCCTTTTCTACCAGCTGGTCATTGATCAAACCTCTTGGTATTGATTTTACAAGGATAACAACTTAGGTTCACCAGGATCCTTTTCTACCAGCTGGTCATTGATCAAACCTCTTGGTATTGATTTTACAAGGATAACAACTTAGGTTCACAAAGATCCTTTCTACCTATTGGGTCTTACTCATTTATAATTGATATACTTCCTCATGTGAGCAGAGTATGCTTACTCTTCTAGACACCTGATACCACTCAATTATAATTAATATACTTCCTCATATGAAAAGTTCATTAGCTGCTACCAATGTTTCACCAATATGTTGTTTTGGATTGTTGGGTTTTGTTTTGCTGTTCAGATCGTTAGTACTTGGTTTATTTATTCATTAGCTGCTACCAATGTTTCACCAATATGTTGTTTTGGATTGTGGGTTTTGTTTTGCTGTTCGGATCGTTAGTACTTGGTTTATTTATTCATTAGCTGCTATCAATATTTCGTCAATATGTTGTTTATGGATTGTGGGTTTTGTTTTGCAGTTCGGATCGTTAGTACTTGGTTAGAGTGTCACATTGAAAAAAATAACCTACCCTTTTTCCAGCCAATGGATCGATGATATCAAATTTGACAGGTTTCATGTGATGTCCATCTGGACAGTTATCAGTATCCGTGGGCATGCATTTAATCGTAGAGCTTCCCTTCATTTGTCGGTATCCGACCTCACATGAATTACAGCCGTTCTCCCCAACATGATCCATCGGACCTGTACACCTACAAATCATAATTTATAGTCATATTTAACACCCAACAATTTACACAGATATCTACAAAGATGGGACTGTGGTTCACTTTATCCAAATAGCTTTGTATGAAGCAGCTAAATTATTCTAAGCAAATTTTTTCATACAAATAATTTCACATGCTCGTTAAGTATTCAAAGGTTTTGTGTGCGTTTTTTTACAAAACAAAAACTTGGTTAAATGCAAGCGTGTTGGCCCTTTGCCATTAGTGACGTCAACAAACGCTTAGTTTCCATGAAATTGCAGGAACCACAGACATCTCATTGAAAATTACAATGATGTAAATTGATGTTATCAGTGTCTCTGATACACATAAAAAATTTAGAAAACCTCTTTACAATCTCTTTAACAAGAACCACAGACGTCTGATTAAAAATTAGAATGGTGTAAATTGATGCTATCAGTGTCCCTGATACACAAAAAAAATTTAGAAAACCTCTTTACAATCTCTTTAACAAGAACCACAGACATCTGATTGAAAATTAGAATGATGTAAATTGATGCTATCAGTGTCCCTAATACACATAAAAAATTTAGAAAACATCTTTACAATCTCTTTAACAAGAACCACAGACGTCTGTTTGAAAATTAGAATGGTGTAAATTGATGTTCCTGATACACATAAAATATTTAGAAAACCTGAGAATCTGTGAGAAACAGCTATTTCTGAATCATGATATTCTAAGAGAAAACTCACCCATTGGCACAATTCTTGTGACATTTCTGACATACAGAGTTTTTGTCTGGATACATGATTTCAGGACACTCCGCTAGACAGATAGTATGATTGGTGCTGTCTATTATACTGACATTAATACAGCTATCACATTCACTTGGTTCCTATAATAGATACATAGTTTATTATAATACATAGTTTATCACATGATAAATACTCATCACATTATACTCAATAATATCATAAATAACCATGACATCACATTCCACTTATATAATAACGTCATAAATACTTATTATGTCACAGTATACTCATGACATCACATTCAACTCATCACATTCAACTCATGACATCACATTCAACTCATGACATCACATTCAACTCATGACATCACATTCCACTTATGATGTCATAAATACTTATGACATCACATTATACTCACCACAACATCAAGTAAATATTAAAGATGTAAAATAAGACTCACCGGACCAGTACAGTTATTACGGCATTCTTCGTGACAAGGTTTACAGATCATATTATCACCCTCGTAATGGAGTTCAATATGAGCACACGATTTAATACAGACATTTTTTTCTTCAATTCTATATCTCTTACAACTCAAACATTTCTCCGAGCCTGGTCCCCAGCAACCATCTGACGAACATTCTGGATCACATACTCTGTTTTCTGCCACTGAAAAATATAACGACTTAATGAGTTTGTTTTCTTACTTACTTAAAGGGACAGGTGTGTCATTTTTTTTGACCAATCATACTTCATTAGCTAAGCCAATCAGTAATAGTGTTCACAGCTCATCGTCAAAATTTTTGCCTTCAAATTCAGAATTTCCAAGGATGACAACTTAAGTTCACAAGGATCCTTTCTACCAGCTGATCCTTGGCCAAACCTCTTGGCATTGATTTTACAAGGATAACAACTTAGGTTTACGAGGGTCCCTCCTACCAGCTGGTCCTAGGTCAAACCTCTTGGTATTGATTTTACAAGGATAACAACTTAGGTTCACAAGGATCCTTTCTATCAGTTGGTCCTCAGCCAAACCTCTTGGTAATGATTTTACAAGGATAACTTAGGTTCACAAGGACCCTTTCTACCAGCTGGTCCTTGACCAAACCTCTTGGTATTGATTTTACAAGGATAACAACTTAGGTTCACAAGGATCCTTTTTACCAGCTGGTATTTGGTCAAACCTTTACCTATACGATCACATGTGGGCGTATAGAAATGAAAACTGTATACTTACTACAGAGGGAAGTGTTTTTATTATGGGAGATAGTTGTTTTCTGTTGATTGGTAGACAGAAGTTTGGACCAGTTGATACTGTTAATATAACAGAGTTGTGTATTACCAGCAATCATTACACTTCCACGCCTGATCTGTTTCAAATTCATCAATTCTAGTGATTCTAACTTCGTCATTATTATACTCAACGATAATTCACTGAAAATAGAACACAGTGGAGTTTTACATCCGGCTTCTTGACAGCAAAATTTAATGGATTGTTTTAAAGATGTTTTCTAACTTTTGTATGTGTATCAGGGACACTGATAGCATCAATTTACATCATTCCAATTTTCAATCACACGTCTGTGGTTCCTGCAATTCCACTAGAACTAAGTCCCAAAAGCCCCAAAAACCTCCAAAATTTGGCCACTCACCTGTTAGTTTCACGACCATAAATATACTCCAAACTTTTAAAACACGATAAATTCTTGAAATCCTCGTGAGATGATTGGATGATCAGATTACCTGTTATTTCACGGACGTATTCAAACACTGTCAGATTGGCTGGATGTAATGGTGGAATATCATTATGTTTATCTCTGAAAATATGAATTCATTATAGTTATATTGTGGTCTGAATTATTCTATTTTTAACAAGTGTTACTTCCCTTCTATTTACTGCTTAGTGGCACTTGTTTGGAGCTTTTGGACGGTTTCTGTCACTTTCAAGATTTTCCTATCAATATTGTCTACACTAGTGCTGGCACGATGTATATAGGGAATCAACATGCCACGATACGCGTATAATGTACTATACTTTTCATTCCATAAAAGATAGCTTGCCAGGCAAGGTAACATACGCCCACTGGCAGCTGTCAGAAATGATAAAACAGTCATTAGTGATTAAAGTATGAATTATCTCATATCAAAGAAATTTTAATAGTTTGAATTCACTGATATATATATTTACTGCCAATTATTTATGCTGAGAAATTCCACAAAATTTTTAAAAATCAATATCAATAACCCAAATACAACAAATTATCTCATCAATATACATGA